GGGGACGCCGTTTGCATTATCCGGCAGAGGAGGGGCATGTTGTATTCTACGACAGAGGGAATAGATCAGCACCCCCCCCCCCCGCAACAAATTCCCAGATAAGAGAATAGGGGAAGAACTGGAACTAACACAGATGACACACACGCGCACACACACGTGCACCCAGCCTTCCACAAGGAGCGCATGCATACACACATACATACATATATATACACACATACAGACATACTACATACATATTTGGGAGATCCCGGTCATGGGTCCTCGAGACGGCTTCAGATCGCTCCCATAGCGTCCAAGATAGCCTCGGAGCACCCATGAGGCTCCCAACGGGCACCCAGCCTGCCCAGGAGCGCTCCAAGACTGCCGCACGTGACATCCCGACGGCCCACGAGACTCCCCAGAAGCCACCAGAGAGCTCAAGATACCCTTTACAGTCGCCCCGGGACGGCCCAAGAGGACCCCAAGGAGGCCCCAAGACGGCCAAATACGGCCCAAGATCGCCCCTGGACGGCCCAAGAGGCCTCCAAGACAGCGGAGGAGGGCCCCAGGAGAGCCCCGAGAAAGGCCCACGACGGGGAACCCGAGCTGAGATCTCGAGCCCTCCACCCCGAGACGACCCCCGAGGCCGCCGAGAGGCCCGCAGGCGGCCCAGGAGTGGCCCCGAGGAGGCTCCCCAGAGGCCCCGCGGAGCCTCACGGCCGATGTCAGGCAGCCTCCGAGAGGCCTGCCCCGAGTGCCCCACGGCCGCGCAGAGTGTCCGGCCTGCCGAGCGGCCCCGCGGGGGCGGCCGGGCGTTCGCGGCTCCGCCTCCTGCTGCTCGTCCTCCTCCTCCCTCCTCCCTCCTCCTCCCCCTCCTCCTCCGCCTCCTCCTCCTCCCCTCCTCCCCCTCCTCCTCCCCCTCCTCCTCTCTTCTCCTCCTCCTCCTCCTCCTCTTCCTCCTCCTCCTCCTCCCCCTCCTTCTCCGCCTCCTCCTCCGCCTCCTCCTCATTCCCCTCCCCCTCCTCCGCCTCCTCCTCCTGGGCCCCCGCCTCCCCGCATGGCGCCTCCCCCTGAGGGCCGCGAGGCGCGAAGACCGCCCCGCTCCCGTAGGCACGCGCATGTCCTCGGCATGCCTAGACGACCACTGCGGGTGACAAGGACTTGGCATCGCTCGGACGCGTGCATTTTTCCTCCGGCGAGGACCATCGAGGAGCTTCCTCCGGCGGGGACCAGCGAAACAACCACGCACGAAACCGAAAAACAACCCAGGGAATGGACGTCCGAGCGATGCCCAGGGGAGGTTTGGGGGGGGGAGGGGGGCCAGCATGATGTTGGGCCCGTCCCCCTACAGGGGGATTTTCGACAAAAAATATAAACAAATACCCCCAAGATAGTCCGAACATAGTCTGGGGACTATGCTTTTGTATCTTTTGACCGTTGGGAGGCATGTTTGGGGTATTTGTTATTTTTCGTCGAAAATCCCCCTGTAGTGGGACAGGCCCGACTTAACGATAGGGAGGTTGGGGGGAGGGGGGCCAGCAATGGGCAACAGTGGTGATTGCTTCGTTGCCTGAATGGACCCCCGTATCGCTTTCACAATCGATCTCACTCGATCGATCACACTATCGATCGCACTCGATCGATCTCACTGTCGATCTCACGATCGATCTCACTCAATCGATCTCACGATCGATCTTCACAAGCGATGTCGGTATCGTTCTCACGATCGATGGGACCATCGATCCCACTATCGATCTCTCTATCGATCTCACAAGCGATGTCGTTATCGGTCTCACGATCGATGGGACCATCGATCCCACTATCGATCTCACTCTGGATCTCGCTATCGATCCCACTAACGATCCCCCTATCGATATCACTCGATTTCACAATCGATATTACTATGTCCCCATATCCTAAGGATTGGGGTTCTTGTTATTACTCTGACGCCTCCCACGCGCGGACTCCTTCCTCCCGCTCGCGCCTCCCTCCTCCCAATGATAATCACCAGATAAGACAAGACAAGATAATATATTACAAGATAAGATAATATAGCACAAGATATGATAAGAAGAGATTTCAAGACAAAATAAGATAAGTTAAGCTCACACTCGCACTCTCGCATGATCACAAAACGCTGCCAGGGGCATCACTTGGGAGCCCCAAGGGGGAGCCACCCTGGCTGATCTCACGAGCCCGTTCGCGCCGATTTTGGTGGGACGTCTCAGCTAGAATTGCCGTTTGGCGCCCCCAACATGTATCTCTTGAGAGCCTCATGGTCACAAAACGCTGCCAGGGGCATCATTTGGGAGCCCCAAGGGGGAGCCACCCTGGCTGATCTCACGAGCCCGTTCGCGCCGATTTTGGTGGGACGTCTCAGCTAGAATTGCCGTTTGGCTCCCCAACATGTATCTCTTGAGAGCCTCATGGTCACAAAACGCTGCCAGGGGCATCATTTGGGAGCCCCAAGGGGGAGCCACCCTGGCTGATCTCACGAGCCCGTTCGCGCCGATTTTGGTGGGACGTCTCAGCTAGAATTGCCGTTTGGCCTCCCCAACATGTATCTCTTGAGAGCCTCATGGTCACAAAACGCTGCCAGGGGCATCATTTGGGAGCCCCAAGGGGGAGCCACCCTGGCTGATCTCACGAGCCCGTTCGCGCCGATTTTGGTGGGACGTCTCAGCTAGAATTGCCGTTTGGCGCCCCCAACATGTATCTCTTGAGAGCCTCATGGTCACAAAACGCTGCCAGGGGCATCATTTGGGAGCCCCAAGGGGGAGCCACCCTGGCTGATCTCACGAGCCCGTTCGCGCCGATTTTGGTGGGACGCCTCAGCTAGAATTGCCGTTTGGCCTCCCCAACATGTATCTCTTGAGAGCCTCATGGTCACAAAACGCTGCCAGGGGCATCATTTGGGAGCCCCAAGGGGGAGCCACCCTGGCTGATCTCACGAGCCCGTGACGAGAGAGAGAGAGAGAGAGAGAGAGAGCAGAGAGAGAGAGAGAGAGAGGAAGCGAGAGAGAGGGAGAGGAGAGAGAGAGAGAGAGAGAGAGAGCGAGAGAGAGAGAGAGGGGGAGTTGAGAGAGGAGACAGGCGAGAGAGAGAGAGAGAGAGAGAGAAGAGAGAGAGAGAGAGAGAGAGAGAGAGAGAGAGAGAGAGAGAGAGAGAGAGAGAGAGAGAGAGATAGAGATAGAGATAGAGAGAGAGAGAGAGAGAGAGAGAGAGAGAGAGAGAGAGAGAAGTGGAGAGAGAGGGGGGGGGGAGAGAGAGAGAGAGAGAGAGAGAGAGAGAGAGAGAGAGAGAGAGAGAGAGAGAGAGAGAGAGAGAGAGAGAGAGAGAGAGAGAGAGAGAGAGAGAGAGAGAGAGAGAGAGAGAGAGAGAGAGAGAGAGAGCGGGAGAGAGCGAGAGAGAGAGAGAGAGCAGAGAGAGAGAGAGATAGCGGGAGAGAGCGAGGGAGAGCGAGAGAGAGCGAGAGAGAGCGAGTGAGAGCGAGAGAGAGAGAGAGAGAGCGAGAGAGAGCGACAGAGAGCGAGAGAGAGCAAGAGAGAGCGAGAGAGCGAAAGAGAGAGAGAGAGAGAAGAGAGAGAGAGAGAGAGATAGAGAGAAAGAGAGAGAGAGAGATAGAGAGAGAGAGAGAGAGAAGAGAAGAGAAGAGAAGAGAAGAGAAGAGAGAGAGCGAGAGAGAGAGAGAGGGAGAGTGAGAGAGAGAGGAGAGAGCAGAGAGAGAATAGAGAGAAGAGAGAGAGAGAGAGAGAGAGAGAGAGAGAGGCAGAGATAGAGGCAGAGAGAGAGAGGCACAGAGAGAGAGGCAGAGAGAGAGAGAGAGGCAGAGAGAGAGAGGCAGAGAGAGAGGCAGAGAGAGAGAGAGAGGCAGGGAAAGAGAGGCAGAGACAGAGAGAGGGCAGAGAGAGAGAGAGAGAAACAGAGAGAGCAGAGAGAGCAGAGAGAGAGGCAGCTCAGTCACACTTAAATCCAGATTCGTCCTCGCCGAGTCCCACCACCAAGGGAGCGCCAGCAAGGAGATGCACAGATGGGGATCCCCACGCAGTGAATAATCATCTCACCATCGATCTCACTATAGATCTCACGATTGATCTCACCATCGGTCTCACTATCGATCTCACTATCGATCTCACAATCGATTTCGTCATCGGTCTCACTATCGTTTTCGCACCAGCGGGACACCGGGACACCGGCGGGACACCGCGCGCCACCGCTTGCCGGAGGGATAATCATTTGGTCCGGCTGGGGCCCAGCCACAAGCGGGACGCTGGCGGGACACCAGCGGGACACCGCACGCCACCGCTTGCCGGATGGAGAATCATTTGTTCCGGCCGCGCCTCAGCCATAGCAGATTTTCTTCTCGCCCGCCCACGCAGCTTCGCCTCGCCCGCACGCACGGCACGCACGAACACGAAACCGAAACCGATTTCCCCGTGGGAGGCTCTCCGTTCCACTTCGATCTCACCCCCCAACCTCCAATCCGCCTCCCGGGCTCGGCTCTTCCCGGGAATAATTATTGAACTCGGTGTCCGCCATTGCGGAATGATGATATTGATTGTGCTCCCCCCAACCATACGGTTGGGGCGAAAATGCACACACGGTTTCATCCCCCCTCCCCGCGGCAGGTCCACGCCGCCATCTGCGGCTGTTTCGTGAGCGACTGGTGCCTGTTCCCCACGGACCCCGCGGGCAGGCTATGGTTGCACTCGTTCGGCGGAGTCTGGGCGTTCTGCTGTCACGCGGCCTCTGTGGGCTGTACTCGGGCCAGTAAGTTCTTTCGGAAGTGCAAGCGTCAGAGCAGGGCGAGTCGAGGCAGCGGGAGTCGGTCTTCGGTTGGGCCCCTCCTCGCCACGGCTGGAGCGCAGTTCGGGAAATTGGTGCGTTTGGACCCTGGGAGGGGTTCGGGGTCTGATGTTTAGCTGCCGTTGCTTCAGTTCGCTCTGCTGCGAGCTCCAGGATGACCAGAATAGGCACGATGGCCAGCTGGCTGTGGGAGAAGGATCGGCATGTCTGGGTGGTGGCGCGTCTTGACAAGGCTGCCTGCCAGACGTCTGGACGCGGGGGATGGGACGGCCTTGAGACTGACCAGGATAAGGAAATTCAGGAGGAGGAGGAAGAGGAGGTGACGGTTGAGAATTAGGAGGAGGAGGAGGAGGAGGAGGAGGAGGAGGGTGCAGCGGGAGAAACATAGTCAGGTGGAGTTGGATGTGGGGGAGAGGGGGGATGCGGAATTGAACGAGGAGGTTGGAGGAGGAGTCAATATTCAGGAGAAGGTAGAGGTGGCAATGAAGTAGGGGGTCGGACGCGACTGGCAGGATCTGACTTTCTTCCTGCACCACTTGCTGGGCCTGGGGATCATCTTCGGCAGCGCCACCCCATTCCAAGCTTCCATCTGCCTTTCCTCGTCAAAGGGGATCTTGAGAAGAGGGGAAGGATGAGGATAATGGATTCCGGAGTTAATGCTTGACGCTTCGCGTATCCCCACCAGCCCATTCAGAAACGATTACCAGGTGAGTTGGTTAATCAGGCACGCCTGGAAGCACGCGATCGCACAGCCGTTTTGGAAGCGTCCAAATTGGGTGGGCAGTACCCTGGGGCCAGAAAACCAGGACCACAAATAGCTGTGCGCAATGAAGTTTAGGAAATACATCAGTGCCAGATGCGCCATGGTGTTCCATGTGGGAAGCGTGTCGGGCGCAGGTTGTTGTATCTACGATCCGACGCCAGTGTTGCGCAGAGTAGAGATGTATTTCCATGGACATTCTTGATCTCAGCTCTTGCACTGATTTGTATCATACATTCGCGTGGAAATTGCTCAGGTTACGGTGCTGCTGCCAGTGCTGCTGCTGATGCTGGTTCCGATGCTCGTGCCGTTCATGTTGTTGCTGCTGTTGCTTGCTCTGGTGCTGGTGCTGCCGTTGGCGCTGCTGCTTGTGGTGCTCCTGCTGGTTGGGTGGTGCTGCTGGGGCCATTTTAGGGGTAGGTGGGGAACGCGGAGGAGGAGGACGAACAAATCGCCGTCGCGTTGCCGAGTCCGCAAGCGTCTACGATCAAGTCTTGAGATTTGTGACGTCGCTTCGGCGTTGTCTGAATTCTTAAATCATAAGCTGTGCGCGTGCTTGTGCCATTTCACAGACTCTCAGGCCCATCCTGGCGCCATATGGAGGTCGCTTGGATTCTCTTGCAGCATGTCCGAGGCCCCTCTTGGGGAGCTGGGAGCACGCAGTTGCACAACCGCCCTGGGAGCACGAGGTTTCGCAACCGCCTTTGGATCGCCTTGGAAGGGGCGCAGAAGCTGCACATCGACACCGCAGTGCTCATTGGCATTGATGTTTTCACACCTAGGGGCCCGTATCCTGGCCCAGAAAACACAAGGACCACACAGTTTCTCCCATTGAAGTTTAATATGGACAGTAGTGCAGGATGTGCCATGAAGCTCCCTGTGGTAAACGTCTGTGGCGTCTTCCCACGGCGGCTTGCTGGGCAACACCAGTGAGTTGGGCGATCGCTTGTAGCGACGGGTGTCGGTGGTGTTGTAATTGATGGTATCGTTCGTGTTGTCGTTGTAGTTTGTGTTTCTGGTACTGCTGCTGCTGGTGTTGATGTTGGTGCTGGTGCTGGTGCTGATGTTGCTGGTGATGCCTTGGGCCATGTTGGGGGTAAAAGGAGGAGGAGGAGAAGGTGGAGGAAGAGGCGGAGTGGGAGGAGGAGGGGGAGGAGGAGGAGGAGAAGGAGGAGGAGGAGGAGAGGGAAAATCACGTAAGGAGGACGAGCAGGAGGAGGAGGAGGAGGAGGAGGAGGAGGAGGAGGAGGAGGAGGAGCGGGAGGAACGCGGCGCGAGGAGGATGAAGAGGAGCAGGGAGGCGGCAGGACAGAAGCATGGACTGATGACAAGGAGGACGAGAAGTCTGGCTTTGGGGATATGTCGTGGTGAGGGGTTCTTCGAAGACTCGTACTGCATTGTGGGCGCCATCTTGGGGACCTCTTGGGGTCCTCTTGGGGCCTTCTTGGGTTCCTTTCGGGGCTCTCTTGGGATGTCTTGGAGCCCTCTTGGGGCTCTTTGGGGAGGTTTGGGAGGCCTCTTGAGGCCGTCTGGGGCCCCATTGTTCAAAAAAGAGGAGGGGTCTTAATCCCATCGCCCTCACGGGAGGCTCAAACATGCTGTCTTGAGGCCCTCTTAGCCCGATCTTGGAGCGCTCTGGGGCGCTCTTGGGGCCGTTTCGGGGTGCGAGCCCATAAGATGCGAAACATCGAGAAGGCAAACCACATTGATTTCCCCAAGGTTTCGGGAGGATGTTGGCCTCTTGGGGCTGTCTTTTCAGGAATCGGAGGGCACTTGAAACCGGGAGGCTATCTTGAGCCATTTTGAGGTATCTTGTGCGATCTTGGAGGCCATCTTGGGCTATCCCAAGCCCTCTCGGAGCCACCTTGGGCCAACAAGGACCCTTTGCCACCTCGCGGGGGAGCCCGTCCAGACCCACGGAGAGGAGGAAGGTAAACCTCCTGAGCAGGGATAGGTAGGAGGTCTCCTGAACGGGAGATGCTTGGACTTCAGGTGATTTGACTTGCTTCGCCTGGGACACTTTCACAACTCCAGGATCTAAGATGCGGTCCTCGAAGCTTTCCCCCCGCGTTGCCCGAGACATCCTCAGAACTCTGGGTTCCGAGACGGTTTCATTTGATTTGATATGGCCAATTTGTGTCTGGTGCTCTCGCTCGAGCGCTAATCACATCCGTGTGTTGGATTGGTGACGTCGCTTCGGCGTTGCCTGAACTCTAAAATCACAAGCTGTGCGCATGCTTGCGCCATTCAGCAGCCTCCCAGGCCAATGCCATCATGGCGCCATCTGGAGCTCTTATGGGTTCTCTTGGGGCATGTCCAAGGCTCTCTTGGGGCGCTTGGAGCACGCAGTTGCACAACCCCCTTGGGAGCACGAAGTTCCGCCGCCGCCTTGGGAGCGTGGTGGAAGGGGCGCAGAAGCTGCACATAGACACCGCAGTGCGCACAGGCACTGATGTATTGATGTCTTCAAATCTGGGGGTCCGTATCCTGGGCCAGAAAACACAAGGATCAGACATAGCTTCCCCCACTGAAGTCTAAAATGGAAAGTAGTGAAAGGTGCGCCGTGATGCTCCCTCTGGTAAACGTCTTACCACGGCGGCTTGCTTGGAAACACCGCAGAGTTAGGATGTCTCCTGTAGAGAAGGGTGTCGGTGATACTGTAGCTGATGGTATCGTTGCAGTTGTCATTGTAGTTTTTGCTTCTGGCACCGCTGCTGCTGGTGTTGGTGTTGGTGCTACTGCTGGTGCTGGTGATGCCTGGGGCCATCTTGGGGGTAAGAGGACGAGTAGGAGGAGGAGGAGGAGGAGGAGGAGGAGGAGGAGGAAAACACGTAAGGAGTACGGGAAGGACGAGAAGGAGTAGCAGGAGCGCGGCACGAGGAGGATGAAGAGGAGCAGGGAGGCGGCAGGAAAGAAGCAAGGAAAGAACGGACGATGACAAGGAGGACGAGAAGTTTGGCTTTGGGGATATGTCGTGGTGGGGTGTTCTTCGAAGACTCGTAATGCCGTTTGGGCGCCATATTGGGGTCTCTTGGGGTCTTCTTGGGGTCTTTTTGGGGCCCTCTCGGGGCTCTCTTGGGATGTCTTGGAGCCCTCTTGGGGCTCTTTGGGGAGGTTTGGGAGGCCTCTTGGGGCCGTCTTGGGCCCATCGTTCAAAAAGAGGGGGGTCTTAATCCCCATCGCCTTCACCGGAGGCTCAAACATGCTGTTTTGGGGCCCTCTTGGCCCGATCTTGGAGCTCTCTGGGGCGCTCCTGGGGCCGTTTTGGGGGCCTATTGGGCCCTTCTTGGGGCTGTCTTAGGCCGTCTCAGGACCATATCGAGGCCTCAAGAGCCCATCGGAGGCGAAACATCGAGAAGGCGCCCCCAGGTGTTTGAAGGACTTTGGCCTCTTGGGGGGGGGGTCCTTGGAGGGCTCGGAGGGCACTTGAAACCGTCTTGGGGCCGTCTTGAGGCCTTTTGGATGTGTGCCGGAGGCTATCTTGAGCCATCTTAACCCTCTCGGAGCCATCTTCGGCTATCTCAAGCCCTCTCGTAGCCATCTTGGGCCAACAAGGACCCTCTGCCACCTCGCGGGGGAGCCCGTCCAGACCCACGGAGGGGAGGGAGGTAAACCTCCCGAGCAGGGACAGGAAGGAGGTTGGAACAGGAAACGCCCTAGGCCTCCTGCGCCCTGAGGGCTGGTGGGATGTGTAGAACTGCTTTGGTCTTTCTGGAGCATCCTGGAGGCTTCGTGTCATCACAGTTGGACTCGCCTCGAATTATGTCTCTGTCCGTGCCCCAGGACAACATGGGGCGGTTGGGGCAGTTGGATTCCAGGGGGGGCATGGTGTACCCACCCATCCTTTGATATGATCCCTCTCTCTCACACTCTTTCGCCCTCAGTCTTGCTATGTCTGCCTGGTTCACTATCTCGCATGATGGATTCCACTCTCTCTCTCTTTTCTCTCTATCTCTCTCTCTCTCTCTCTCTTCTTGTGTATATACAGTTCCTTTCCCATGTATGTATATATTGTAAAGCTGCTATGAATATGTATATCGTTCCCTCTGTTTGTCTCGTCTCTCGCTCTCTCCGTCTATCCTCTTCCTGTCTCGTTATATTCCCAACCGTGTGCAGTTGGATGTACGACATGGTCATAGATGCTCATATCTAGTCGAGTATTCAAATAGGTGTGTATATATACACATGGATCTACACATGTGTATCTATCTATCTGAATATATACTTACACACGCACACGCCGGGGATCCCTCGTCACCGGCCAGACCCACGGCACACAGGCGAAATATCCGAACACGGTTTTATTTCCGCCTTCTGGGGCATCCAAGACGGCCCCAGATGTCTGCAAAGGCAGAAGAGTTCCCGAAGATCGCCCCAGGACGGGCCAAGAACGCTTATGATGGCCTCAAGACAGCCACAGGGTGCCCATGGGAGGCAAAATCTTTCAAGTGAAGGTCAGAAGATATATCTTAAGCCGCCCTGGGGCTTCCCTAGAACCCCCCGAGGGCTTAAGCTAGTGTCGCGAACGTAGTGTGTTTTCGGTGTTTGAACCTCTCTCGCCTTTTCGGTTCCCATGGGGTCCTGGGGGCCCTCCAGCTATCCCCCAAGACCGCCACGCAGAGCCCCATTGGGGGGGGCCCAGCGCGAGCCCAAGCCGCTCCCCGAGGACTCCGCGCGGGCTGCGGGACGGCCCGAGGCCCTGCAGGGCGCACGCCCACGACGCCCCAGGAGAGCCCGAGGAGGTCCCCGCGAGGGCCCCCGAGCGCTCCCCGAGCGGCCCTCCGGTCGCTTCCGGCGCCAAGGTCGCCCCTATGGGGCCACGAAGCGTGCGAGGGTCGGGCCGGGCGAAAGGGGGGGATTGGGAAAGGGGGGGTTACGAAATTTGCTGCATGCAGCTGGTTTTGGCCCCACCGAGGGGCCCATTCCTCGATACATAGCCGCCTCCGGCGCCGGGAGGCGCCCGGAAAATCAGCTACGTGAGCTGATTCTCAAATCCCCCCTTTGCTATCCCCCCCTTTCGCCCGACCCGAGAGGGGCGTGCCAAACCAAACTGGGTGTTGCGGGCGCACGTGAACGCTGGCATGTGGGCCTTCTGTGGGGCTCCCTGTGAGGCCACGAGAAGGGGTGTGCCAACACGAGCGCGGCGCATGCAACGTTTTTGGGCCTTCGGTGAGGCCCCCATGTGCCCCCAAGACACTCCCTAGAGGCCCACCAGTGGCTTCCAGGAGCCCCGGAAAGCCCCCGGATCTTCTGCAGCGGCCCCCCCCCCCGCGACCGTGGCTCCGGAGCGTCCTGCTGTCCTAGAGGGGAGGGAGTGGGGTTGGGTGCCACCCCCCCAGATGGTAACATAAAGAAAAACGGAACCTACGCATGTGTATATTTACACATATATATATATATATACAGTGGCATGCATATCGTAGTCGTTGGTTGAAAAGTACAAAACAACATAGACATACATACGTACATACATACATGCAGACAGACAGGCAGGCAGACGTACATACTTACATACGTACATCCGTACATACATACAGACAGACAGACAGACATACAGACAGACAGACAGACGTGCAGTGCATGCATGCATACATTCACATATCTACATATAGACCTATGATTATACATGCATGCATTAATGCACGCACATACGTACGTACGTTCGCGCGTACAGATGAACATACGGACATACGTACACATGTACATACGTATATACATACATCCGCACATACATCCATGCATACATACGTACATACATACATACATACATATATGCGTATCTACATTTGTACATGCATTCGTGCATGCATGTATACACACATAATCACATTTATGGATATATGCATACATGCCCTCATGCACGTATGATCAAGTACAATCTGCATGCCGAATGCAGGCTCCAATGCGCTCACAGACAGACGCACGTGCAGGCGCATCAAGCTCAAGTTTCAGTCGCTACGCGCTGTCTTGTCCCTACGCTCGTGATGTCGCCTCCGCCCTTCCCTTGCTACCTCTTTCCTCCCTCGACGTCCCTCCCTCCCTCCCTCTTCCCCCCCTCCTTGTTCGCTCCCCTCCTCACCCCGCCTCCGCCCTCCCTCTGCTGTTCGGCGCCCGCAGGCGTGTGGAGCATGGTCCTGAGAGAAGCGAGGCCTGGCGATCGCACCCCCCCCCCATGCTGCCGCTCCCCCCCCCCGCACTCCCGCTGTTACTCTGCATCTTCGGGGGTCCCGTCCTTTCCTGTAAATGCCGGTCTGTTCTTGTACTCCGACGTGGTTTCGACGCGAATTGGATGTAAACTCGATGTGGATCGACGCGGATTGGACACGGGTTCGACACGGATTCGACGCGCTCAGCCATGTCTTCGACATGAGTGCGACATGGATAGTTGGCGCAATGGGACAGACGAGGTCCCCCAGAGGTGCAACATAACCCTTGGAGGAGGACCCCACCGACTTGAGGTGCATCAGGAGGTTCCGAAAAGACGATCCTGGGAGGAGGAGGACGCGGCAGGGGCCATGGCGGCGCCTCACTTCGCGCCGTCGGATTAGGACAGATGGGGTCCTCTCTACGTCGGCACGATGCTGAGCATCCTCGAGCTTACCTTCGTCTGGGGCCTCGCTCCTCCTTTCTGGGTCGTCATCCTCTTGGAAAAGAAAAAAACACACAGACACAATTAATCGTCGACTCCCAGGAAAATATGGGAAAATATGGGAAGTGGGGGGGAGACAAAAACCCAGGAAATATTGGAAACTATGGGGAATATTTTGATTTGTGTGTATTTACTTGCGTGTCCTGGGGCCCCTTCAGTCCTCTCTTTCTCTCTCTCTCTCTCTCTTTCTCTCTATCGCTTTTCCTTCATCCGAAAGCTTTCTCGCCGCTCCTCATATTGCGGTCCTCCCCCCTCCCCGCCGCTTCCCCGACGACTGCTGGCTGTTGCGATGGCCTTACGGCC